TAAAAGCATAAGAATCATTATAAATGGAAAGAAAATTGTTATTGGATGAATTTTAGAGAATTTGTTCTATAAGTGGAATAGATTAATTAGCATAATAATCAGATGAAGGAATTATGAATGAATTAGATTAGAAAATATAATAAAATTAAGATACAATTGAATCATAAGAAAAAATGCTTGATGGATTATAGAATGAAATAAAGTAATATTGATTTTAGAATATAATAGTGTATTAATGGAAAAAGAAGAAACATTTACTATTAGAAGAAATGAACTTCTTAATAGATATCATGGACTAGAAAAATAGATGGATGATTTAGCTAAAAAGTATGCATAGTTTGATAAATGATTATATATATATTACATATATATTAATATATTTTCAAATCTTTATTAAATCTATTAGTATTATTAATATTTATTAAGAAATTTAATTCTTATAAAATTATGAACTTGATTAAATATTATAATTATAATATAATGATTTCCTAATCAGAAATAGAATCAATCAATAAGTATTTGTTAGAAGCAAATGGGACATTGGATAATATATAGAAGACATTTATTAAAAAATTTGAATCAGAACAAAATCCTTATCCCTATTTTTATTAAGGATTATGTGATAATGTAATAATAAATAAATTATTTTAGATATTTACAAAAGGATAAAGACTTCTTACTATCTATTTACTGTATAATTCAGAATTGAAATCATGTTTATAAGATATTTATAACTTTACATTAAATGATTTTGAAAGAAAATTTATTTAAGATCCATAGATTGTATATGATTTTATTAAGACATATAAGATAGTATGCTGCCATTACAATTAAGACCTTGCTTGAAGAATAAGATAAATTTTCATCTAATGATAGGCCAAACCTCAAAGAGTAATCAAATAATTAAATTACTCAGAATAAAATGAGAAATTGTATTTCATTAAATAATAATAATCCACCTTCGTAAATATTTGTCTAATCATAGAAAATTAAGATAAAATTCTAATATTGAATAAATTCAATAACAAAATGGATTTGAAATAGATTATTTTAGACCTATTCCAAATGTTATTTAAACTAGATTTGATTGGATAGATTAATAAGACATATAATATTCAATTTGGGATTATTCATTATAAATAAATTCAGATAAATTGAGTTAAATAAAAGAAATTATTTAAAAGGCACATAATGAATAAATATCAGAATATGAATTGCAAGTATTAATTAATAGTTTAATTTTTAGTTATTTTAAGAATATTTAAAGAAAGACAATTACAATTTTTTAAAGAATAATGGTTTAATAAACTTTAATTTAAGTGAAATAATTGAAAAGAACTTAAATCTAGCATTTTTTTTGTTTTCTAAATATTTTCCTAATCCAGAATTTTTAGAGTAACATTATGAAATTATTATAGACTTATGGATAACTTAGTTTAAATAGATGTAACACCAAATGGATTAGAAATAATGTGTATGGTTGTTTAATAATTTCATATTCCTTAAGAATATTTAAATTATTATATTAATTACTGCATACAATTTTGTCAGAATATTAAAGTTTCATATATTATTTATATGTAGGAAAAAGGATAACAGGTTAGAATGATTAAGTATTTTACTATTTTTCTGAAACATTTGATCAATAAGAAATTATATAAGACTTCAGATTTAGTAACAGAAGTAACTAATTTATAATTATCATTAAGTTATAAGCATTTTCAATAGAATTTTCAAATATAGGAGAAACTTCAAGTCTATTCAAATTAATCAAGAGTGATTTATCATTATGAAGTAAATCAATTAATTTGCTTCTATTTATTAGAAAAAAAACTAATTTAATAATAATAATAATAATAATAATATTTAAATTGCAATTGTATATTTAATCAAAAAAGTCTTCATCATTACAAAATAATTTTGAAAATATTTATTTAACATTAAGTTCTATTTTGAATTAATTTAATTATATAACAGTTAAAATTAAATGAGCTACTCATAAGAGTTCTCACCATTATCAATGAAGGAGGAAATGTTTTTTAAAAACGAAACTGAATCCACATCATTAGAATAATAGTTACAAATTGCAAATGAAAAAGTTAATTAACTAATGCAGTATTAGCAATAATTAAGGTATTTTGTAAATCTCTATTTGAGTGAAGAACTAGAGCACTTGCACTATAAAAATAGTGAGGCTTAGTAGGAAAATGAAATCCTCAGTAGCCAACTTAGATAAGGACCTGATGAAATGAAATTTCTTAATTGTGTATTAGATATGGTGAGAGTTTGTCACCCATCTGATAAATAAATAACTCTTAAATATGCATGGAAATGGTTGAAATATGTTGTTGATGATTATATTGAATTACGAAAGCGAAACAAAAGTGCAAATTCATAGTGTGAAGTCTTTAAAAATCCTAAAAAGAATTCTATAGTTGTAGGAGATTTGTTACGGAAAAATTGTTAAGTAGCAGAGAGTTAATATTTAAAGCATTCTAAATACAACAATTGATAGTTATATCGAATATATATTATAATAAAAGTTTTTGGTGAAGAATTAATTTAAATGAATAAGAGTTTCAAAATGAATATTTTTGAGAATTTTTCTTTTTATTTTAGTATTACATAGAATTATAAATACATAATTCATTAATAATACTGAAACATATAATATTATATTTATTTAATATAAGATTAAATTCTAATTATTAAATATATTAATAAATAATCTTATGGTTCAAGCATTTCTGAATTTATGTTTACAAATATTCTTAATATGTTGAATTATGCTATGAATAAATATAATTCTATATCTTGAATTATAAAGTAATTTTTTAAAATTTTAATCAAATTAATTATGAATCTTAAAATATAATACTAAGGTTAAGAACTCAATTTTGAAGGAATTAAATCTTTAAATGAATTAAAATCAAGACTACAATAAGCTGAGCCATCATTTGTTTTAGAGTCATTAACTTATAAAGATGAAGAAAACGATATCATTACTATTTCTAATGAAAATGATTTTAATTGTCTGTCAGCAACTTCTTATTTGATTATTTAAGCTTATGGTAAATTTGATTAAGAATGTGTCTTAAAAGATGTCAAAAAAAATTAAAATTTACTTAAAAGACTAGCAATCAAAGTCAATTAATTTAAGGAGAAATAAAAGAATAATCTAATTAATGTATAATATTAAATTAGTTTTAGAGAAGAAACAATTATTAAACAAGGTTAACAAAAATTATGCAATAAAAATAGTATTTGACTTAAGAAATTGATAAAGAGATATAATCCATTAAATAATAAATTGAGATCTAAAAAAAATATAATATTATTAACAATAAAACTTAGATTAGGTGTGTAATATAAGAATAAATGATGAAATTTCATCTTTGTAATTTTGTTAAACAAGAAGAAGCTAATTTAACCTATAATGAAGAAAGCTTAGAGTAATTTATGAGTAAAATTGAATTATTGGAAGAAAATATATTTGAAAGATTTTTTTAATCTTATAATTCTATGAGATTAAACAAATTAATAGAAATGAAAGAAAAATAAATAAGTGGTAATGAAAATCTTCTTGAATTATCTAAATAGTAATAATTGGTAGAATAATTTAAAAAAAAATTATTATTTTAACTCAATTTATAAGAAAATTATTTTACTTAAAAATTAAAAGATGCAGAATACTTATTAGAAAATTTGTGATTATTATTTATTTAAAAATAAATTATTAAATTTCTCAGACTTAATAAGATAATATAATTTAATAATATTTTAATCAAATAAAAGATTAATTATTATTGAAAAGTAATCAAGGATTAAATAAGTATCTTTGTAATTTAATATATAAAATACTTTTTTATTATTAGATAAAATTTTGAACATAAATAAATTATTTTATATATTTTTTTGTATGTTAAAGAAGCTAAAGTTAGAAATTAAGGATGTTACTGAAAAATTTAGGTCTAATAGGAAATATACAAGTCTTGAAAGAGTTAAGGAAGTAGAGAAAATAGTGATTAATGAAATACATAATAAAGATTTAGATTAAAAAGAACTTTTGTTACATTTAGCTTTAGAAATTGGTCATCCCTTAAAAGTCAAATCAATAGAGTTAAAAGAAGAGTTAGAGAATTTATTGTAATTAGTCTTAATCGAATTAATAAATTGTAAGGAAAGTTTGAATAAAGATGCCAGCGAATATTACTAATGTTTAGAGGCAATAAATGATAAATTATATACAATAATTGCATACAAACTTAGATAATTAATGAAATATGAATAATTGAAATTTAGAATTCCTAGATTTGGCAACACTTAAAAATTGCTTTAGAAAAAGATTAATTAATTGTTAGCTTGTGAAATTAATCATTCATATTTACAAGAAAAGAGAGATGCAGAATATATTGATTAAATACGTAAGTAATATTAAGAGAAAAAGACAATAAGAAAACTTACATATGGTTTTATATTTATTTATTTTGGAATATTATTTAGATAGAAAAAGTGGTTTTAATCAATAAATAAGCATTATAGATATGCATTATTTGGTTTTGTTGGGGCTGTGTTATTTTATCAATTATAATGACTATTTCTTTACATTCAAGTAAATCTAAAATAATAAGTATAAATTAAATATGATTTTTAAAAAGATCTGGATTTATAATATCTATTTCTTTTTTATTTTTCTCTATTTTATTCTTAATCAATTTTATTGATATATTATTCCAATAATAATATTATTGATACCTATGAGTTTAGTTAAATTTATAATTCAGAGATTTTTCTTAAAGTTAATAGTATTGTTGATTAGTATTTAAAATAAATTATTCTAATTATTTAAGTTATTAATTCAATGATTTCTGATCTAATTATGGTTCTTATAAAAATGCTTTATTTTAGAATTTTGAAAGACTTTCTCACTTAGCTTATCTATTTGAGTTTATTATTATTAAGTGTTAAATGAAGAATTGATTGATATGTCTAGAAATAGATCATTAGAACAAAATTAATTGAAAATGAATTATTTCACTGCCCTAGCCTTTTTTATTTTATAGCTACAATTTTTCTTAATATATCTTAAGTTGAGCTACTATTTTCAATAGGAGCTTGATATTAAGCAATACTTGAATCTTATGTTAAAATAGAACTGTTTAATTCTTTAAAGAATTAATCTGTTTCTTGTTATTTTAATTTGATTGTTATATTTTAAACTATTTATTAAATGGTTCATTTTTAATTTGTTTCTGTTTAAAAGCTCCTAATATGAATAATTAATTACTTTCTTAATTTGAATTAAAGTTGTCTATTTCCAAAAATTATTATTTGTTATTGATTTATCAAGTATTAGCGATTTTTCTTAAAATTTCATTGGTTACTTCTATGATAGAAGTATGGGTGATTAATTTCTATTATTTAGAGCACCTGTTTGAAATATTGATTATTTTTTGAAGATGATTGTTTTTATGTAATATTTTTCTATCGATTACTCATATTAAATTAAATAATTTATAATAAATATCACATTCTAGCTTACAATGACAAGTTTTCTAATATTTTTGGATCAATTTTAACATCATTTTTACAATTTTTACCAGCACAATCTAATATTTCCATATAAAATCCTGCTATCAATCCTTCTTCATCAACAGAAACCATATCATAAAATAATTGCATAATAAAATATAAATCTACCTAGAATTATTTAAATAAGTCTTCTGAAAAATAAGTTCCTCTTACTTTTTGTAATAATACTTTCAATACATATTTTACAACAGTTATAAGTAAACTATTTCTGTCATTAATATTTGTTTCTAATATCTTACACTTTCTCACCATAACAATTTCCATTTAAATATTGAAAGTACTTTATTATATAATGGATACTTTTTTAACAAGTCCTCTTTTTGTATCAGGAAATAGTAGACCTAGTGCTTCAATGAAATTTTTGACTTCATTAAATAACATCTTTTATGTAATTTGTTGTTAGTACAAAACATTTTCTTAATTGAGATATTAGAATATAATATTTATCCAATGTTCACTCTAAGCTTATGCAAATAATATTAAATTCTTTTATGTAGATCCATTTATATAAGTTTTAAGTTTATTTAATTCTTAATCAGTTGGTTATCGAACTTAATAATTAAATTATATAATTTACTTTTATATCCTTAAAAAACTTAACTAACAAGTTCAAATAATTTATTACTCAATGTTTTAGAGTACAATTATAAAAATTAGTTTGAAAATAAATAATAATATGTAGAATCATTAGTGTTTAATAATGGTAGTACTTGCTAAATAATATAATTATCATTAAATAATTAATTTAATTAATCTTAAGATATGGAAATTGATCTAAATGCAAAAATCTTACCTATAAATTTAACAAACTCTATTAAAGAGGCTTAGATTAAATTTAAATAAGTTTCTTATTCTCTTAAATAACTCTATTATTAAGAAAATACAAAAGCTTTAAGATCTAATAAACGTATAGTTGTGAATGCAATTAATTTTTATTTGATAACAGTAATTAGAGTCATAATCTCTCTTTTAATTTCATCAGTAGGTTACAAACGTTATAAATCATTTTTAGCAAAAACAAGTAATTCTAAAAATTGTACTCTTAAATGACTAAATGATGTAAAAACCTATCCTCTACAAATATTTTCAACATTTTCTGTAAATTTATCAATTATTTCAGTTCTTAATTATTGTCTAATTGAATTATTTTCAAATAATGATTAGAGTTCAGTTTATAATTTAACAAATACTTCATTAACTTAAACATTATTAATTTTCTTTTAACTCATCTTATCAGTAACTCCTTAAAAAACTCCATGAATAATTTCTTTTATACATTAAGTTGACAATTATTCTAATGATTTATCTCTAAGTGTTCCTCTGATTTCTATTAACAAAAAAGAAACCTCCACTTTTAATTCTTTAAATATAATTTAACATAATTAATTGATTAACCATAAAATAGATCCTTAAATTGCTGAATCTGAATTAACAATTTCTTTTTCTTTCATTTATTTATATTCTTCTAATTCTTCAACAGTATAATCATATCTTTTATCTTCTAAATAATCCATTAAATTAACAACTTCTGAAGATTTAGTAATAGCTGCTTTATCTATTAATTCTTTGGCTACAGTTAAATATCTTTCTTTGATAATCTTTTGATAATGTCTAAGTACAGCTTCTTCATCATCCATTATTTATATTAACTTTTTAACTGCTGATCTTGCTTCTTAAGTAGATATTGAAACTTTAGATTCAGAATATAATTATAAAAGTGGATTTTATTATTTAAATTCAATTAATGAACTCCAAAGAATTTATCTTGCATTATCTAATTTTTAATTGGTTTCTTTATAAATTGGTTATATAAGTGGTTCATTTTTGTATTAATCCAAAGTTGAATAACATTATTTATAATATTAAGCTGTCTCATTAAAATATTCATCATAATTCTTTCCTTTACTAATTTTATATTAATCTAATTCCTTTTATATCACATGAGGAAAATTGCAAACTGAATTTAGACGACTCAAATCTTTATTGACAGTATCTAATTTTATTATTTCTTCTCTTTTAATTGATAATTAAGAATCTATTCTTCTGGATAATTAGGCTATCTTAGACATAGATTGTGCCAAAGTCTCAACTTTTTAATCTATTTAGGTAATATCAGTTTTCATTTTTTTTACGGTATCAATTGAGGATATGAATTTACTACAACTAAATTGAGCAATTACCTATAATTTTCAAAAACTAATGATTATATATCTTAATCATATTCTTTAATCTCTTATTACAATTAATTATGTCTTTGTATTAAATCTTAAACACTATGATTCTTTAAGAATTCACCAACATATTTTTAACAATCAAATTTAGATGAATCTATATCAAGTTAATCCATATTATTATTATTATTATTAATTTATAAAATAAATAAATATTTTATTATAATATTATATGAAATATATTGATATATTATAATAATATAATTTTTACACTTCATAAATTAACTTCAATACCATCACAATTATGAATAAATTAACCAGTCAATGTTTGTATAGTTCTTGAATGAGAAACACACACAAAAGGCTCTTCAAATTTAAGATATTTTTTGCACTCTTCTACTCTTTTAGTATTTTCTTCAAAAGTCTCAACTTAAATTGGATGTTATTTCATATACTCCAATACTTTCTCAATACATGCTTAACTTCCATATTCAGTTTCTTTAATGTATTATTTCAAAATATTTGCGCTATTTTTATTATATAATAATTCAAGGGACCACATATTTGGATGTTCTTTTATTTAAGGATTAGATAATAATCTATCATAATTAATAAATGGATATTCATTAATTGTTTCTTGTATTCTAATTCCAAAATCACATCCAGATAGAAACATTTCACGTAAATATGGTTCAATAACAAATTTAGGTTTATTTGGATGATTTTAAAAGAGTAATACTGCCGTTTCCACAGCTCTTTTTAATGGACTTACAACAACTGTCTCAATTCGGAGATCTTCAAATTTAGTTGGATCACACTAAGTAAGTTTAATATGCTATGTTGGTAAGTACTTATTCTCTTCCAAATTTAGTTAATGGAGCATCACAATATTTAGATGAGTATTTCACATCTTAATCTTCATCCTCTAATTTTACTTCAGTCACTGAATTCTTTGCAATTCTTTAGGCTAAATTATACTCTGATTCTGCATGTCGAATAAATACAACTTTCTTTTCCATTATTATAATTTATATTATTATTTTATTGTAATCCAATAAATCTAATAAAAATTACTATATTCTTTAATGTCTTTTAAAATTTATTATCATATTGATAATTTATCAATAAAAGTATCTGAAATCATCATCAATTACAATTACATTCATCAATTTAATTTATATTAAACATTAATTTCTATATGGATTAATAATCTGAACCAAATACCCAAGAATAGGTTATAAAATAAACGGATGAGTAATCATAATCACCTCAAACAATCCTCCAATAAGAGACTATTAAAGAAGTCGTTTATCCAGATGTCTAAATCTAAATTTTCATTGAAGATGCAATCATTAAGGATGCAGGATTTGGATAAAAATTCACAGCTTACTTGATTAAAGGTTCAGACAATCAAGGATCATTTGAAATCTACAGAAGATATAATGATTTCTTTGAATTAAGAGAATTATTGGTTAAGAAATGGCCAGGATGCTACATTCCACCAATTCCTGAAAAAGCATTAGCAAGTGGCAATGACTAAGAAACTGTATAAATTAGAAAAAGACTAATGGAAGTCTTTTTGATAGCTATTTCATAATTACCCTACATTTATTATTCCGAAGATTTTTAATAGTTGTTTTTAAGATCCAATTCTTAAGATATTGCAAAAGTAAACATCAACGTTATAATAATAAGGTATATCAACAGTAAAAAGCACCTACCACAACTGAAATTATTGATAGATTAAAGACAGCCTTCCCAAACCTTGACGTAAGAGAGTAATAAAACAGTGAATATATGTTGGCCATTAGTACGTTTTCAGGATAATTAAGAAAAACTTAGGCTACTCTAAAAATATATATTGATTAATCTAATCTTGTTGCATAAGCTAGAAGAATGTTATAGGATGAAAAAAGTATTACAATATTATATATTAGTGAATTTATTTAATGGATCTTTGCCACTTTATGAAAAGACCATACTTAATGAGTATGTTTATGGTAAAGAGTAATAATTAGTACTCTCAAATCCTTCAAATCAAGATGAATATAAAAAGATTCTAGAAGAAATTGTATAAATTGTCACATATGATGTTAATAGAAAGATAATAATAAAAAATAAAATAGCATCAATTATTTAACTGACTTGTTTAGATATGAATTGAAAGATGCTGAATCTATGTAACAAACCCTAATCTACAGAGATTAAATTATTGTTATAAGAGCTAAATAAGAATAAAAAATGAGAGAAGACTAAGCCGAATTAGCCAAAATGGCAGCAAAATAATAAACTTTAACCACTATCACTAATTCTACATTTAACAAATCGAAAGATGCTTCATAAGTTAAAGTCGAATCAAGAATTTCAGAAGTAAATTATTAATAATAATTAGGGATAACAAGAAATAGACAAACTATCTACTTTATATAATATAATTACAGCAATTATAGCCACTAAAGAAATTGAAAAATATAGAAAGGCTAGGGTCAATCATTATCATAAATTTTTGAGATCTATATAATAATCAGAGACTAAATTATATCAAATTGAAAATGATTTTTTGCAAAAACTTATACAAGAGTCTTAAAAATAATTATAATAATCAAAGTAAGAA